TCTCCAAATTGGGTGAACCGAATCGTTTCAAACATTACAACGTGAATATGGGGGCTACAAGAAAGATCCTGACACTCGTGAAATTTCATTTTTTGTAACCAATTTTGTAACCACCTACGAACAAATTAAAAAAAAGAAGTTGTATGGGTGTCGGGACTTTCCTTATACCTTTCATATTTATATTGTAAAGTTTGAATTTATTCGGTGCACCCAGTTTTGGAAAAGTTTCATAAAAGGGACATCTTTGACGCTACTTTAACATTGCCTTAAGGGGATGTGAAAGTGGCATCTGAAGAGTCAATCGTTCAGGACACTTTTCTCAAAGCTGGATGTGCCGTATTATTTCAAACTTTACAACGTAAATGTAGACACTATAAGGAAGGTCTTGACACTCATGAAATTTCATTTTTTTATAACAAATTAAAAAAATATCTTAGAACAAATTTGATTTCAATTTAAATATCGTGGGTGTCAGGACCTTCCTTATAGCTTCCTTGTTTACGTTGAAAAGTTTGAATCAATTTAGTACACCCAGTTTGGTGAAAAGCTTCATAAACGAGACCCCATTAACCCCACTTTCACATCACCTTAAATAGTTTGTCGCCATATTGCGTCGCGCAACTATTTCGCGTCTAAAAAGAAAGAAAGAGCGATATAACAGCCACGTTGTCTCTCTTTCGATTCTGTTGCCTTTATAGTCAGATCCATGGAGACCAGAGACCAGGAGGACGAACACAATTTTTATAGCCAAGAATAATGAAATTTCCTCAAAATCGGATACCGATCTTTCTTTGTTGGGCGGCGCCACATTCGCTTAGGGGCCACTACTTGAATAAAGCACGGGCATAGATTTACAGACATACAATTGCAACAGTCCTATTATCCAAATAAACTAGGATAAAATATTTAATGTATATTTTATCCAGAAATTATTTTTATGAGCATTTATTTGTGACATATGTAAGTACTGTAACTAAAAAAGTTTCGACTCAAGTAGTAGAACGTCAAGTTTTCCGAGTTTTCAATTCAATAGGTCTCTTCCATTGTCTAAGGTTCGCGAGATTGCGTACTGCATGTAGAGTTGGAAAATTCTCGGTAACATTAAATTGGAGAAGGTAACTGTGAAACATACCGTAAGTTACCAGGAACATCGAGAATTTAAGAGAACGTTAATTTTCTTATTTATACTTTAGGTTTCTTCGTTTAAATAACTTTTTTTTTTCAATCAACTTCAAAGTTCAAGCTAAAGAGTAATAATTACTATTAGAAAATATTGATTTTAGGGTCGTATTTAATTCCAGCTAAAAATATTCACGTATGTACAACTTCACGGAAAATTCCATGCGATTTGTTTCAAACGAACTGATATTTCATTCTGCGACGAAGCGAATGGGAGGTTTTGATTGGCTACGGAGAACGTACAACGGAAATTCCCCTCTACGATGTTTCTCTATAGCTAATCGAAACCTCTCGTTCGCTCTGTTGAAACATTCAAATTCTCATAATTTCTCGATAAAAAACGCTTTGGAGAAATTACCGATAAATTACCGGGAATTTCTCTTCGTTTCTGACGTAACTTACTGGATTTAGAACTCTAACTGCATGTTGGTCCCTTAGCGATAGCGCTGCCACCTGTAGAGAAAATTGTCCAACGATGTTCAGTATCCTTTATCGCAGTCACGAGCTCTCATGAGGGACCTTGTGCAGTTCGTCCTCGTGGTCTCTAGTCTCCAGGGTCAGATCAATACGCAAGCTCCATACGTCCATCTTATGACGCTACTCGGTAAATTCTTGCCCAGCTCGCCGAATATCGAATGTGCGGCACCGCCTTCACACTAAGCGAACTTGTATGTTGTCCATCTGTTGGCAAACAATGTTCACTCAGTCCGTACCGGCCTCGAATCAGGGGGGTGACACTCTAATCGGAGAAATTAGATGGTGTTTGCAGCGCCATCTGACCTAGTAAACGGAAGTGAAGAACTAATTTTGCGCTTGCGCGTCACTCATTAACCAATTACATGTGTATTATTTCTTCAGAACCCTGTAATACCCTGGCGACATCAATGATTTTCATTTTGTACCTTCTAGTCAATCTACCTTCTTTTGTTTATTTCAAATGTCTAAATCATTATAGTTTGAAATAACCTATAATAGCGTTAATAGATGCTATAATAATAGCATGTAATGAACTTTAACAATAAATAATTACTGTAAAAAGTGTATCTATTATTTATATTCTAAAGAAACTCAGTATATTGTCAGTGGGTTCTTTGTTACAATGAAATAAAAATTAGTTCACATTTCGTTCCTATATTCATTTCGTCATTCCTAAAAATATCTTTTTATTCCTAAAAATACGAAATTATTCTACATTTCAAATACAACGCAGCGCCGTAGGAAGGTATATATGTAAATTGGTAAGTCGAATGTAAATGACATTACTATGGGTTATGTTTCTTTGAAACTCATAGATTATTATAAAAGAAACATTTTTAATTTATCTCATTGTTATTCATATTTGTTCATATTACGAACCCGATCGACCTGAAAATAGTGATTTCAAGTCATATTATATTAACTTAAAATTTATAAGTGATAAGAAATGATAATAACTAAATTATAAAGTTAGAATTTTAAAGAAATTATTATACCTGTGAGATTTGCAGCTAATAAGTTACCTAATCTTATTAACTGTAAAATTTACAGTAATATTAGATCATTTTTTCTTAAATAACAGTTTCTGAATTTCATTCCATTTAAATTCATGGCGGGAAATTTGCTAGTTCATACTTCCGGTACTACTAATCCAGAGGTCGCTGCAAACACTAGTCTCGAAGAATAACATGCGAGTGTCAGCCCCTACGTCAATTTTATCCATCGGCTGCTATCAGGGGGGTGACACTCCTTATGGAAGGAGTGTAACGCGGAAGTTAGTTCACCTACTCCAAGCAAAGACTGCGCTAGTGTCGTGACTTCTCACTCTAATAGAAAGAGAACAACAGAGAAAAAAATATTCTAACCAATAGCAAGAGACTCCAGGAGGCGCAGCGTAGATGCGCATGAAAATAGTCTGGACAAGTGAACCAAAGTGAACCTAACCTCGATTAGTGGCAATATTTTTACAAGTTTCGATTACCTCGGGTATTAAATCGCGAACGTGAGTTTGTGAGTAAAAGTGTAAATCAAGAACAGTTTGTAGTTTCTTACTAAAATAATTGTAATATTAAATGGATTAAATGCGATCTATAGATCGCATTTAATCCATGAAAGTAATCATAACAAAAATTAAATTTGTATAGAATTTGTATATTTATACATTCATAATAATTAATATTTTTATCTTAATAAATATGTTACTTTTTAACTAATGTTTAATGTAATTATTTCAGTTCTTACAGCGATTTAAAACAGGCGTTGCGCCACTGACACTTTTGTTACTTCTTTTATGTTTAATATACTGTTTTCTTACATTTGTGTGTCAGTTTAAGCAACGTCTGTTTTGATCATTGCAAGTATTTTTTAAATCCCGAGAATATCCCTTCGTTTCATAAATGAATTTGAATAGCCCACCAAATAATTTAGTTCGCGAAAAAGGTTTATTCCAATCGAAGATGGCGGTAGTGCATAAAGCGTTACACCCCAATACATGGCTGTGTCACCCCCCTGGCTTCTATGGACCTTACTCATGTCTCACGTTTATGACCAATTTTTTCACCTACGCATAAGTTCCCGACAAAGTTATTCAGAAGATATCTGGAAGATATACTTCAGTTTGGTTCTTTTCACTTCCAGTTAAGGTGAAGTGAAACCCCCTTCAAATCAGTCGATTCGAATACGACACTTTTTTTTAAGGGTATTAAACCAAACTGTCCGAAACTTTGACACATCACTCCTGATCATCTAAGAATTGTCCTGAAACATTAAAAATTTGGATTTTTGGACAAAATTTTTTAACTTAACCCAGACCAGAACCAAAATGGCGTCGAGCTCTCATATTTCGATCAATATACGTGAAATGATATAACATGTGAAATGAAACACGTCGAGGAACTTGATCGACGTCGATAAAGAAGATTTTTCTTAATGCCTACGTTGCCGACGTTCGTTTTTATATTGACAGCTGTGCCGAATTATATTGGATATTGTACCAAATGGCATACTCCACCTGAGGTTTCCGCACAATAAATATCAAGAAATCGAAGTAAAACTCCAGAAATCCTTTGAATCCGTGCTTTCTGGGACCTAATTGACTGCAGAGGGACCCCTTGCGCCATCTGTGATTTCCGTGTCAACTAAATTTTCACTCCGAGACCTCGTATTCCCATCGTTTTAGCACAGAAGCGCATCAAACACTTTTTTTACGTTTACCTCGTTCAAATGCGAGTTTATCGATTACCAGAGTGTTCTACATTGTCGTAAATTTGTCGTGACCCTTTTGATTCTCATCAGAGCCTTCGATAATTATATATTGATCGAAATATGCGAGCTCGACGCCATTTTGGTTCTGGTCTGAGCTAAGTTAAAAAATGTTTTCCATAAATCCAAATTTTGAATGTGTCAGGACAATTCTTAGATGATCAGGAGTGATGTGTCAAAGTTTCGGACAGTTTGGTCTAATATCCTTTTAAAAAAAGTGTCTTATTCCAGTCAACTGATTTGAGGGGGGTTTCACTTCACCTTAACTATACAAGTTGCATCGATCCACTGATTCCCGTAAAACCCCCAAAGTTAAGCGATATTGGGCGCGGTCCACCTATGGATGGGTGACCGTCTGGGTGGCATCGCTAGCGTTGGTCAAAAACAGAACCAATGACACTGGACCCTTGACAGAAAAGGGTCGAGATCCAAAAAGCAGATACAAACAGGAATCAGCTATCCAACTGGTATAGAGATCAATGGTTGGTGTCGATAAAGGAACCGGCGAGAAAAGCGCGGTTCTCTGTTTTACCGGTGTGCGAAGAACGGCCCCGAGAGAAGACATCCAGGGGACGCGACCGGGCTTACTGCTTCCGGCAGGCGGTGTTGGGTTCCCTGGAACCATCTGGTGCGTCGTGTGGCTTGCGACGGTCCTTGACGTCGGCGTCCTTGGGGGCGTCTTTGGGGACGTCTCGACGGTAGTCGCGGTAGTCGCGGTCGCGCTGCGCCCTCTGGCCGCGGTACTTTCGCGCACCGCCTTCTCGGTAGAAATTGCGACCTGTGAAGAGTTCCAATATTCTCAGCAACACAAAATCGGAGAAGGTATCCGTGGTACACATCGTAAGATACCGAGAATGTCCAGAATTTATGAGAACATTAAGATGACGTGAAACACGTCGAGGAACTTGATCGACGTCGATAAAGAAGATTTTTCTAAATGCCTTCGTTGCCGACGTTCGTTTTTATATCGACAGCTGGGTCAAATTATATTGGGTATTGTACCAAATGACATACTCCACCTGTCGTTTTCGTACAATAATTATATAGAAATCGAAGTAAAACTCCAGAAATCCTCTGGATTCGTGCTTCCTGGGGCCCTAATTGACTACAGAGGGACTCCCTACGCCATCTGTGATTTCCAGGTCAATTAAATTTGCACTCCAAGACCTCGTATTACCATCGTTTTAGTACAGAAGCGCATACAACACTTTTTTTGCCTTTATCCCGTTCAAATGCGAGTTTATCGATTACCAGAGTGTTCTAAATTGTCGTAAAATTGTTCTGACCCTTTCGATTCTCATATCAGAGCCTTCGATAATTGTATATCGATCGAAATATGAGAGCTCGACGCCATTTTGGTTCTGGTCTGAGCTGAGTTAAAATTATTTTTTTTTAAATCCAAATATTGAACGTGTCAGGACAATTCTTAGATGATCAGGAGTGATGTGTCAAAGTTTCGGACAGTTTGGTCTAATACCCTTAAAAAAAAGTGTTGTATTCGAATCGACTGATTTGAAGGGGGTTTCACTTCACCTTAAGTCCTCATAATTTCTCGAGAGAAAGAGCTTTGAAGATATGACCGATAAGTTACCAGGAATTTCTCACCGTTCCTGACGTAACTTACCGCGTTTATGACCCTACCTGTGTGGTTTCCCCGGGAGGGGTGGGCCGGGGGGTAGCCGGCGCCCTCGGGCACGTAGTAGATCTCGCCGAGGTGTGGCAGCACCGTCCCGTCGACTTCCGTCTCGCCGTCGTGCCTCTCCCGGCGACCCTTCCCGCTCCGAGGAAACTCCGAGTGGTGGTCGACACTGCGCAACGCGAGAACAACCCCGTCAGTCCCGTGCCCGAGGCAGGGCATGGTACCTACGCTGTGCAGGGACGACCTGTGGTTGCCTCCCCTGGTCCCACGGTGCCAGAAGCTCTGTGTCTGCAGTGGCGGGAACTTGTGCGAGCCCTGCTGCTCCTGACCGCCGCTCCCCGCTGCGTTCCCGCCGCTTCCTGCTGCGTTCCCGCCGCTCGCTGCCGACCCTCGACCGTAGTGTCCGTTGCCGGAGCCGCGACTCCTTCCGCCGCCACTGCCGCCGCCTCCGCTGCTCGTCGAACCCGTCCGCAGGCTCGCCAGCTCCTTCCGCTGGTCTTTGTTCTCCCGGCGCAGCCACTTGACGATTGCCTCCGCGTCCTCCAGCCGGGCGGCCAGGTCGGCCTGCGCGGAATCGCAGCTATCGTCCACCTGCACCGCTGCATCTGCCGTCGTCAATTTTTCCTCGCGTTCGGCTGCTTCGCTCAGCTTCCTGGAGGGCAACCGGACGTGTCACTTTGTATCATGGACATAGTATATAGGATCATGGTGTTATGCCCGTAAGAGGAATTGTTGTTTAACAGTTATAAAGTAAGTTTGGGTAAGAAGGCCCATGTGGGTATCATGTGACTCATGCTTATTTTGCGACATGTAGTAAAAGTGCAATGCTTTTAGCTTCCTTCGCCAGTTAGTAGTGTAATGCCGTCAGTCTAGAGTCATTTAGAAATGCATACATGGAGTTTGAGAACTGCATGGCGTCGAAATACGTCGTGGGAAGAGACCCGGACATCCGATGCCCGTAAGAGGAATTGTTGTTAGTAGTTATAAGGTAAGTTTGGGTAAGAAGGCCCATGTGAGTATAAAGGCTCATGCTTATTTTGCGACGTATAGTAAAAGTACAATGTTTTTAGCTTCCTTCGCCAGTTAGTAGTGTAATGCCGTCAGTCTAGAGTCATTTACGAACTTCTTTTGCCGTTCGATGATCTCCGACAGGTATCGATTGTGCGTTTTCGCCTCCTGGAGCGACACCTTGACATCCTGCAAGTCCTTTTCCAGAAGCTCGACCTGGAGGGGAGCGACGTTGACGCATACCGGGCTTCCCTGGACCGACGACAAGAAGTGGAGCGCAGCACCCAGAGACAGAAAAACAAGAACGAGTCGTAGCAGTGATCGCAAGTTCAAAGACATAACCCAGACACCAAGCACACTCCAGTGAACACTGTTATATAACTGTTGGGTAAAGGTTACGTTTTCGAAACTAACATGTTATGTAGTATATAAGTAACATGGAAGTTAGATATTAGTTATTATTTCCCACTCGGTAAGGTAGCATGTTATATTAATGTTATAAGTTCAGTTACCTTAAAATAATATTAATTTGTCAAACATTTAATAAAAAAAAATAATGCAATATTATTATATAATAAATCAGACTGTAAATGAAATTATGTAAACCATAAACTATCTGATTTTAAATAAAAAACAATGATTTCATTCGACTAGCAAACAATTACTGATAATGTGTATATGCATGCAAATTAAAATCACATTTTTTCATACAAGTTGTAAACAAAATATGACACGTATTAACCTTATGACATTTGACGATGAATTATGACAGTGACGATGACGATGGTGTAATAAAATAGATGACAGTTAGTACCAATGTAGTTCTGTTTTGTTACAAATATGTGCTGCAATATCAGGACAGCAACATAATGTAAGATAAGAGTAACAAAGTCACGCTACATTTATATAGACATGATAGTAACAAATATTATGTAACCTGTTAGCTCCATGTTACATAACTGTCAGGTTATTACATTGTAACAAACGTTAGTTGAGCGGCTCATATATTACTTATTATATAGATACATTAAGAAGTACTACTACAATGTAAATTCGAACGTCGGTAACGTAGGCACTTAGAAAAATCCTTTTTACCGACGTCGATCAAATTTCTCGACGTGTTTCACTTAACCTTAACGCTGTCTATGTATAAGTATTTCACCAAAAAGGAAGAATTACAATACCTTCGGTTTGGCGAACCCAGCGCTCCCATCTTCTGGAGAGGAAGGACTGCTCGGCACGCAAACTGTGCCCTTTGAGAAGACCAGCTGAAACTGCAGCTCTGGGAAGATAAAGAGTCTCGTAAATCAGGGAACTCTATGAAGGTATTGATATATATACGGTATAACAAAACTCGTAGCCACGGTTTATACAGCGCTATCCTTGTTGGAAAAGGAGTCGAAAAGTCCTGTACTATTTTATTATGCAGTGCCTGAATTTCCCGTAATAACTATGTGAAGCACAGCCAATCAATCGCGTTCTCCAACGGAACGCATAGCGGAAAGAACGCCGACAGGCGTGTGTTCGGCTATCTGCGGTCTTTATCGTGTTTTTTATACCGAATGAAGTGTCCGATAATAATTACAAAATAAAAAATGTATTTTACGATGTGTTTATAAATTAAAAAGTATAATCTCCATTTACGTTTCAAAATTATTATTTAATTATTTTAAATCAAAATCACCCTGCTACGATAAGAAAGTANTATAAAATAAAAAATATATTTTTATGTGATGTTTATAAATTAAAAAATATAATCTCCATTTAAGTTTCCAAATTATTAAAACTATATATGTCATTGAGATTTTCAACAAATATTACAGATATCTTTGAAAGAAATCTGCGAGACATCTGAAAAAATCTGTAGACATTTAGTAAAGATCAGGGTTGGGAAATTCCCCATTTTTTCGATGTTTTCGACGTATATTACGTAAACAAAGTAGTTTACCGAAAAAAACTCGTAGAAAAACAGTAAATTAAGTTTCCAACATGAAGAATGCCGTAGATGAACCCTAGTAGCACAGAATATTTTCTAAATATTTTTTGCAATCTTTGCTACATATCTCAAGCGATAGATTTTTTAAGATGCCTCGTAGATTTCATTTGTGAGATATATAAAATATTTGTTGAAAATCTCAATGACATATTTAGTTTCAATAATTTATATACACGTATCAATATTATATCCTTTAATTTATAAACATATAATAAAAATGCACTTTTTACTTCACGATTATTATTGGACCCTTTATTNCGTTTTGCAAATATTTCAAATGTCTGCTAAATATTTACAAAATGTACGATATTCGTTAAATATATAGAAAATATAGGACAAATATTTTGTGCTACTAGGGATATATGTATTCGCGAGGCTAACGTCTTTTAGCGCACATATAAACACGTAGAGATTGTTAAGGAATAACTACTTTGGCGTTTGTGTTTAAATTTTTTCAACTTAACCCTGTTTAATATGAAATTTCTAATTGGTTTCGTTATTTTCTATTTAAAAAGAGTAGGGCGGAATGTACTTTACGCTGGCGCAGAAAACTAGGGACATATTATACGTCGTAATGTATACATAGATACCCACATATAGTACATGATGTCTTATACCTACCCAACCTTGGCAAGGATGACAAAAAACCATTTAGAAATGAGCCGCTCAGTGCACACATCGACTAACTCCACTTTTTGAAAAATCTTAAATTTAGGGGTCAAAGCACTTGGTACAGTCATAACTTTTTATATTTATAATATCTTTCCTGATTAATAGAGATTAACGCCATTAAACGGCAAAATTTTTTTGGCATTGAATAATAAGTAATTTATTTCAGAAGCCATTTTGATTAACTCCATACTCTAATGTAAATCGTAGATGAATACCTGGCAGTATAGAATTATTGGATTATCTGTTGCGGCCGTACATCGACGCTTTTTTTTTTAAACAGCCGAAGATGCTTTCCCCCTTTCAACAATATGAGTAATAAAATCGCATCAGCAAACGGATAGAAAGAAGCGCAATGCAGACGGTAGTTAGTATAACGGTGATCTCTCACGCTGAATGTTACCGTATACTTAACCAATATTACACGGACTACATATTTTTTGGTCTTTTCGACATTACTCCCTGATTGTTTTTAAAGAACTAAATATTATACCGTTATAATCAAGATGAGTGAAACTAATAACAATGTGGATGTGGAAAGCAGGGATGATTCTTCAATACGATTTATCAGCAGAAAGTCTGGGGCAAGAAGACGTTTATCGCGTTTCTCGAATTCATCCGATTGCAACGGTACAAATTCCCGAACAAACACATCGATTGGGAGGAAAAGAAGTCGTAATCCTGATAAATGGGCACGAAATTTACAAAAGCATAACGGAACAAAAGGTTTGGCATACAGGAATAGGGGAGGAAATTTAATACCTGCAAAAACATTTGTCGATATAAAATCCAGACGATATAAAATCCAGACAGATTATTTTTTGGCTATTCTTTCTTATTAATTTTATATACCGTTAGATGAAAACTATAACTGTATTTATGTATTCCACATTATATATTTCAAGTTATATTATAACAGGAATTTTAAAAAATAATCTACATTACTTCATCGCATTTCTCAACTTTTTGTTTTATGGAGTTAATCAACGTGTGCACTGAGCAGCTCATATAGTACATGACGTCTTATACCTACCCAACTTTGGCAAGGATTACAAAAAACCATTTAGAAATTATTCCATGCTACTAGGGACTAACCTCTGTTCCTCTGTCTCAGGGTCTCGACCTCCCGGTGCAGAGCGGCCAGGGTGGTCTGGTGCTGCTCCTGCAGGAACTTGACGTTCTGCTCCAGCTGGGCGGCGCGGTCGCCGTTGACGGTCCGGGGCCTCGTCGGCAGGGGTGCCTCGCCCCTGCCCGGGGCCACCAGGTCCGCGGCCGGCGCCTTCTTCCCCTGGGGAGCAACCCGACAGTAGTCGCCGTTCGCCTAGGGCGGCTTCCCACCTGGTCGCAGCTTTACCTGCGAGAACGGCACCGTAGGCAGCTTCATCAGGACCTTCGACGTCATCCTAGGGCCTGCGGTCCTCCGGGGTCCTCGTTCCTCGAGCTCGTCCTCCTGCGCTCCTGCGCTGCCGGGGCCGCGGAACCGCTGCGATTCCGTGCGGCCAAGACGCCGGCCGAGTATTGATCCAACCGGGAGGACCCTCGAGCATCGATGGCCGCGCACCTACCTTTTTCCACGCGAGCTTCTCTCCGAGGAGGGAGGACCGCCTCCACGTGCGCGAGTCCGTCCGGCATACTCTTCCGATGATTTTAAGGTGGAGTGAAACTTGATCGACGTCGGTAAAGAGGATTTTTAGAAATACCTACGTTGCCGACGTTCGTTTTTATATTGACTGCTGTGTCGAATTATATTGGGTATTGTACCAAATGGCGTACTCTATCTGTCGTTTACGTACAATAATTATAAAGAAATTGAAGGAAAAATAGAGAAATCTTCGGGATTCATGGTTTCTAAAGCCCTAATTGACTGCGGAGTGACCATCTGCGCCATCTGTGATTTACAGGTCAACTAAATATTCATTCTGAGAAACTAACGTGTATGATTCCACTTTCACATCCCCTTAAGGCGAAATGAAACACGTCAATCAACTTGATCGACGTCGGTAAAGAGGATTTTTATAAATACCTACGTTGTCGACGTTCGTTTTTATACTGACTGCTGTGTCGAATTATATTGGGTATTGTACCAAATGGCGTACTCTGTCGTTTTCGAATAATAATTATAAAGAAATCGAAAGAAAACTATAGAAAAAATCGGGATTCATGGTTTCTGAGGCCCTAATTGACTGCGGAGTGACCACCTGCACCATCTGTGATTTACAGGTGAACTAAATATTCACTCCGAGAAACTAACCTATACGATGCCACTTTCACATCCCCTTAAGGCGAAATGAAACACGTCAAGAAACTTGATCGACGTCGGTAAAAAGGATTTTTATAAATACCTATATTGCCGACGTTCGTTTTTATATTGACTGCTGTGTCGAATTATATTCGATATTGTACCAAATGGCATACTGCACCTGTCGTTTTCCTACAATAAATATCAAGAAATCGAAGTAAAACTCCGGAAATCCTCTGGATTCATGGTTTCTGAGGCTCTGATTGAATGCGAAGTGACATTTGAGTGCTTATGACATTTGACGATGAATTATGACAATGACGATGACGATGATGCAATAAAATGGATGACAGTTAGCACCAATGTAGTTCTCTTTTGTTACAAATATGTGCTGCGTATACACAGTAATATCAGGACAGTAATATAATGTAAGATAAGAGTAACAAAGTTACACTACATTTATATAGATATGATAGTAACAAACGTTATGTAACCTGTTAGCTCCATGTTACATAACTTGTAATTTACTGCATTGTAGCAAATGGCATGTAACTAGTTAGCTCTATGTTACGTAACCGTTAGGTTATTATTTTGTAACAAACATTATGTTATTTGTTAGTTTTAAGTTACGTAACTGTTAGGTTTGGTGTTCAGTGGGATTAACTTAGTGTATTTTTTTATCTATTTTCTTTTTTTCGCAGTTATAACTAATTTTTATACATTCTTACATTATGTTATATTAAATTAACTCTTTGTTCCTCATACATGAAAAGATACACTATGCTTTTTATTCTGAATGGTATTGCAGATGATTGTAGGAGGTGAAATTACCGAAGGCGAATCTACTATTGACAAGTCTATATTTTCCGTAGATTCACAAGTATAGTTATTTGACTTATTGTTAAAGAAGACGTATATTGAATGGATTCAAGCGTCCTCGACCAAGTGCCGTCTCGTCCACTGTTCGCAGGGACCGCCTTGGTCTAGCCGTATCAATTGTTTAGGCAATGCTCATATCTTCTAAACATTCTCGCCTTTCCTCGCCCATGATTCTGGGAATAGGTCCGCCCATGGACCTCCGATCATTTTGCCTTGCCTCTTCGAAATATTTCCTTCATGATACATTTTGCAACCATTTTGAGGTTATGTATCTGTACGGTACCTTTCGCCACAACCAGGGGGCCGACACTGCCATGTATTGGGGTGTAACGCTTTATGCACTACCGCCATCTTCGGTTGAAGTAAACCTTCTTCGCGAACTAAAATATTTGGCGGGCTATTCAAATTCATTTATTAAAGGAAGGGATATTTTCGGGATTTAAAAAGTACTTACAATGATCAAAACAGACGTTGCTTAGACTGACACACAAATGTAAAAACAGTATATTAAACATAAAAGAAGTAACAAAAGTGTCAGTAGCGCAACGCCTGTTTTAAATCACTGTAAGAACTGAAATAATTACATTAAACATTAGTCAAAAAGTAACATATTTATTAAGATAAAAATATTAATTATTATGAATGTATAAATATACTAATTCTATACAAATTTAATTTTTGTTATGATTACTTTCATGGATTAAATGCGATCTATAGATCTATAGATCGCATTTAATCCATTTAATTATTACAATTATTATAGTAAGAAATTACAAACTGTTCTTGATTTACACTTTTACTCAGAAACTCACGTTCGCGATTTAATACCCGAGGTAATCGAAACTTGTGAAAATATTGCCACTAATCGAGGTTAGGTTCATTTTGGTTCAGTTGTCCCGACTATTTTTATGCGCATCTACGCTGCGCCTCCTGCAGTCTCTTCCTATTGGTTAGAAAATTTTTTCTCTGTTCCTCTCTTTCTATTAGACTGAAAAGTCACGACACCAGCGCAGTCTTTGCTTGGAGTAGGTGAACTAACTTCAGCGTTACACCTCTCCCATAAGGAGTGTCACCCCCCTGGCCACAACAAAATGCTACAGTATATACTACACTTGCGCAGTAAGAGCTCCCGGTAACACTTGGAGTGAGAAAGGGCCCTCTCTGTCTAACCTCTTCAACATACCCCCACTACTACTATGGCCTCAATGTCTATAAGCTCTGTAGGTTTCTTCGTTTTGCCTATACTTTCTACCCTTTTACGAAAAGTGTACACTTTGGCGTTCGTTTTGACGGAAGTGACGGAGCGTCGCTGTTCGTTTTGCGAGGGCATCTACCCCGAGTATACACTTTCTCTACACTTTCTACCCTCGATCCCGAGCGAGGGCAAGAAGGGTAGTCCGCGAATTTGGCGGCAAATTTCAAAATTGAAAAGACTAACAAACAGGAAAATACAAAATTTATGCTAACGCCTCAACGTAATATAAATAGAAGGACTTATTAATGCATCTTCTTCGTGTATAGAACGATTTAGCGATTTAGTTTTGTACGTAATGTTTGAAACAATTTACAATAATTATGTAATACTACGTAACCGCGGTTGGAATGAACTAAACTATAATTTTTCCCTGTTGTAGTTAAATTGCTTTTCATTCTACTGCAATAACATTCTCACCCTTATTGATCCTCGATCCCTGAAATTCGTGAAAGAAATTTTCATCTTCTACAATTACAAGGTAATAGAACGAATTGTAGGATTTGAAGAAACCGAAGACAGCTCAAGAAGAAAGGCTGGAGGAAGCATTACATTTTCGTATTCGTCATCGTCCGATACGGATAACCTTAAAATCGCGTACCTCTCTACTAAGTCGGCCATCTTGGACATTCGTGAGGTTGCTGGCGTTCGGGACGTCGACGAAAGTGTATCTACCCTTCTGCACTGTTCAAGAAAAGTGTAGTACATTCTGATCGACTCTTTTCTAATATTCTCATTTCTCTGGAAGTATTTAATTTCAAACGCAAATAGATTCAAAATCTATTTAAAATTGGAAATCCATAACAGTTTATAGTTCTTATTTAAAATACGAAATGGAAATGGGGTTTTACGTTTTGGATACCAATTTCGAATGAAATCAATTCATACGAGTTACTCCGATTTGCGTTTATAATAAACTCGGATAAGAAAAGTCTTTCTTATGTTTACGGGTGCTCATTTACATGCTGATTTAATGATTTACAGGTGTCCATTCATTCGAGGAATACGAAGAATGGTGTAGAACGTAAATATATAAGAGGCATGAAATCACGATTTCGCTTCTATGTCCGATAGTTGATGCGTCGTAAATTTTCCGACGGTATTTCACTGTATATATATTTAGAAACTATTTCTTCTAAGCTAAGATAATATTCTAACTTCGGTTCAGTGAATGGAACAATTGAATCACTAAGAAACTTGTTAACATTTAATAGAACATGTTCTATTATATTCT